TTCTCAAACCACCCTTTGGACCACAAGTTGGGTGTGATCAAGACCTTTTACATAGAGCTAATACCATCATCAGTGATCCTGCGGATAGAAGTAGCGAGATCGATCACGTTAAAGAAGCCCCAAAGAAGTGTGGCTACCCTCAGTGGCTCATTAGGAAAGCCTCCGAGCCCAGACAGCCCCGGTCTAAACCCCAAGATAGTCAGGGAACGGGAGGAAAAAACAGAAAAACACTTGTAGTCCTCCCATACGTAAAGGGTGTTTCTGAGCCCCTACGTAGAATCTTTGCTGCACACGGAGTGAGTACCTGTTTTAGACCTCATCGTAATTTAAGACAACTCCTTGTGGCACCTAAGGACAAAACTCCCAAGGAAGACATACGTGGGGTTATCTACCACATAAGTTGCCAGGGAAACACTAACAGAGGCCCCTGTCGGGAAAATTATATCGGGGAAACTGAGCGCTCACTAAAAACCAGGTTTCTAGAACATAGACGACCCAGTTTGTTTGTTTGTTTGTTTGTTTATTAAGGAATCTCCATTAGTGATAATATGTACATCACTACTCTTCCTGGAGTCCTATACAACATAAAAATACAACTATTATTTACATTTATATTACTTCAATTGCTATTATGCTTCAGAAAAACTTATCTTAACAACAATTTTTAACATCAATCATTACATCAATCATTACAACAATGTTACACTATACAACCATCCATCAATAATGTTACACTATACAATTAACCAAAAACAATTTTATAATAGATGTCTGAGAGGTCAGAGGTCAAGAGATTGTGCATAATATATTTAAAAACATTTACCACCAGGAGTTAATTGGTGTGTGTTTGTTTTTATGTGTTTTTGTCCAATTCCAGATTTTTTCTTTAAACGTTCGTGGGTTTGAGGATGTGATGTGAGTAGGCAAAGTGTTGTATGTTTTAATGCACCTGTGTATGAAAGTCCGAGTCATGGCGTTGGTTCTAGGTTTAGATTGCTGGAATGCTCCTTTTTGTGCCAGTCTAGTGTTGTGCGAATGTGCCGAATTAATTGTTTTTTCGTCTATTAAAAATACATCTAGGCTGTTGCACAGTTCTGTTGCATCTGAGGTGTCACAGCACATCCACATAGAATCACCGGGACACACAGTGGATTTGGAGGGGGTCAGAATCTTGGATACCGAACAGGATTACTTCAAGAGAGGCATAAAAGAGGCCATATACATCAGGGCACTTCAACCATCGCTCAACTGGGACGGGGGGCGATATCGACTTCACGTGTCCACAGCATTTGGGTCAGATAGCTGAGGAAGACTGAGTGATTCGGTCGAAAATTTCTGGTGAGTCAAATTTTGAGTTGGAGAAAAGTTTAAGTTTTTCATAATGATCACGCTACCATTTGACACTGTACTGGAGACAACAGATGAGTGGCCATTTTACAATCAAGGAGCATTTCTGTTTAATGAATGAATGAAAGACCTTTCACTGGGCAAAATGGGTACGGATCCTGGCAGATACCGCGGTATCCGTCAAATGTGTCTCGTGACGGATACGAGCAGATACGAACGGATACTAGATCCTTGACGGATGCGTCCTCGTATCCGCTCGGATACTCTTATACGAAAGAATATCAAAGTCGTATATGCTCGGATCCCTAACTACCAACGGATACGAATATCTTATCCGCACGCATTTTTAAAATGGCCATCTTCAAAGGTCGAGAAAAAACAACCTTATCTTGTTTTTTCTTTGTAAGGACAACATATCTTGTATGGATCCGCTAGCACACTCCTTGGCGGAAATATGTGTTCGGATCCCAACATATCCCCTTATCGTATCTTCTATGGATCCGCTAGCACACTCCTTGGCGGAAATATGTGTTCGGATCCCAACATATTCCCTTATCGTATCTTCTATGGATCCGCTAGCACACTCCATGGTGGAAATATGTGTTCGGATCCCAACATATCCCCTTACCGTATCTTCTATGGATCCGTAGCACACTCCATGCCGGAAATATGTGTTCGGGTCCCAACATATCCCCTTACCGTATCTTCTATAGTTCCGCTAGCACACTCCATGGCGGAAATACCTTGTGAGCACTTACACTCATACATTTACCTATCACGGTATACGTACTAAAAAAAAAACCTTAACCTCATGAGCTCATTGCTTGTCTGTGATGAATTTGCCTAAAATGAAGTCGCCCGTATATATATACGTAGATAAAGCAACCCATAGCCAGTAAGAAAGTCGATATATGCGTTCTATGTATGCGTTCTATGTAGTCTCGCGTTGATGCGTGCGATGTCATATGTTCACCCTAAGCTCGCTGCCCCGCCTTGCGCCGTACGCGTGCATGCGTGAAAAAAACTTTTATGAAACAAAAAGGATACTAGTATCTCATATTGTTATTCTTATATCCTTTCTCTTGATTTGAGACATACGCAAAATAGATATAGCGCCTGCATCCTGGTTAGTTTACGTCCGCTCCCACAGTCGCTACCGACGGACTAATTAACCAGGATGGTACCCAGGCTAACTTGTATAGTTTATATGCATTATATAGTATCATTTAAAGACGTATTATTCATCAAGAATATCTACAAAATTAGTGTAAAAAAGGCTTTTTTTTTCTTATTGTATTCTTCCAAAAACATTTTCAGTGAATTGGTCTTGGTCTTGGAGGTTAAGGTAGCCAACATCAACTTGCTGATGATTCTGCTACACTGTAGTATTTGGGTTGTAGAATTTGGACCATCGCACACCGGGGCATGCCCCTACTCTTTTTCGAAAGGTGTGGTGGGATCTTTAACGTGCTCGAGGTGTGGCTCTCCTCAAACACGGGACCTTCAGTTTACGTCCTATCCGAGGGACGTTCCTAACCGAAGCTAGGTACTCATTTACACCTGAGTGAAGTGAGGAAATTCGTGTAAAGTGCCTTTCCCAAGGGCACAAGATCGGTGACATGGGTGGGGATCAAACCCTGGACCTCTCGGTCCCGAGCCGAACGTGCTACCGCTGCGCCACACGACCCCACATGTTTTTGCGGTATGGAGCCAGTGGTGCTATTTGCGGTATGGAGCCAGTGGTGCTATTTCCATGTATTCTTGCTGAGCTCTGCGGACTGAAAATGAAAATCTGAAAATGGTTTATTTTTAAGAGGTACCGGTATTCTAAAAAAATCGTACAAAATCTACGTTTGTTACTTCATCTGCAGCTGTCTAAGAGCTTTTCCAGGCCTTTTTTAAAACAAAATTCCCGAAAAAACAATTAATGTTATCCTAGCGGAATACATAAAAAGTGCAGCAGAACCATTTTTTGCTACATAACTCTTCTTAGAAGATCATTATAGACTGGCTCAAGCTTCATCTGGGCAATTATAAGGCCTACCAGGCCTGATGTGAGGGACTACACCTAAAAATTGTCGTTTAAAGAAATTCCTTCGTCGTGTAGCGAATTTCTATTTTTCAGCCAAAAATGCTCATTTGGGATAATTTATGCAAATTATGTTATATCGGCACCAAACTCCATATTTGGGACCGGGTTACCAAGCCGCACCTGGAAATGGTCCTTTCGAAGAGTTGGCTCATCGTGAAGCGAATTTCGATTTTTCAGCCAAAAATGCTCATTTGGGATAATTTATGCAAATTATGTTATATTGGCACCAAACTCCATATTTGGGACCGGGTTACCAAGCCGCACCTGGAAATGGTCCTTTCGAAGAGTTGGCTCATCGTGTAGCGAATTTCGATTTTTCAGCCAAAAATGCTCATTTGGGATAATTTATGCAAATTATGTTATATCGGCACCAAACTCCATATTTGGGACCGGGTTACCAAGCCGCACCTGGAAATGGTCCTTTCGAAGAGTTGGCTCATCGTGTAGCGAATTTCTATTTTTCAGCCAAAAATGCTCATTTGGGATAATTTATGCAAATTATGTTATATCGGCACCAAACTCCATATTTAGGACCGGGGCACCAAGCCGCACCTTGGAAAATGGTCCTTTCGAAGAGTTGGCTCATCGTGTAGCGAATTTCGATTTTTCAGCCAAAAATGCTCATTTGGGATAATTTATGCAAATTATGTTATATCGGCACCAAACTCCATATT